CCGCGACCTACCTTAAGTTCGATCATGGTCAAAATTAATGGTCCCCAAGGAAAGACCTTCTCAAAAGAAATAAGCATGTGAAATACAGACCTGTATACTCATATTGTTGTCTCTCAGTATTTTTTATTACATTTGTCAGTGAGATTTGGCATTTGCCCTTAAGATTTCACTTTTCATCGATTTTCCATATATTACTAGAGAAAAAACTACATTTCTGATCACCAAAACATTGTTAATAACCATAATAATAATAGAAAAATCATACCTTACTTTCTTTCGAGGGGCTTCTATCTTTTTTTATATAAGCACCGCGTTTTGGCACCGTAATATCACTTAAGTGTTTGAAATCTTTCTCTTTTTTAGCAATTAAAAAGCCAAGGGGTCCAGCCTAAATTCCTTTGCAAAGGCGTATTTTTCTTTGCAACAGAGAAAATGGCGGAGACTGGAAAGAAGGCCAGTAAACATCACGAAATTTTTAATGATTCGCGCATTTAATTCGGTATCAAAACATGTCGTTTCGGTGAAGCATTTATTTGTCTTTTGGGGGGATACTTTTGGATACGCACGAATTACATACCAAAAAATCTATTGAAATAAAACGACATGCCTTGCAGACACGGATTGAATACGTGTGTCATCATATGAGGGTAAATACTGTCTTTTACAACAGAGTACATGTTGAATGGAAAATAAGAGAAACTTATCTCATATATTACATCAAGACTCCTTATTCAAACATGACTTTCTGTGACAAAATGACAAAATTTTGTCTAAATTCCAAAATAAAGGTAGTATAAGAAATATTTCATTTGCAAATTGCGGTTCAGGGCTTGTTTTTCCTGTGCAAATCACTTTGCTGTATAAACAATACAGAAATTCACTATCACAACGATTACAAAAACAAAAATACAATCTGATAAATTTTAATTTAATCTGTACGTAAGTTTCAAGGTATTGCTTCCTTTAAAACTGTTTTCATAACTGGTCAGATTTATCTATTTCAGAAAAGAGCACTGCATCAAATGCAGGAAGATTATTACCAGCAAATATTTTCTTCAACAATACCAAATGACGCAGCAGGACTGTATTCATGTAATCATTATGGGAAGTCTTTTCGAACCAATGAAAAGTGTGATTTGTGTAAAAAAAAAAAATATAATAAAGGTCTTATTAAGGTACCGCAAAAACAGAATGTATGTCACAAAACTCTTCCCAACTCCTTCTGATGTGAAATCTAAGTACAACAGCATCGCCAGGAACTTGTAAAAATCCCAAGAATAAAAAAAACTATAGTGCACTGACTGAAATCATCAAGATTGTGTAAGATAATCAAGTACATTAAATCCAAAATGTGAAATATTCTTTAATTAATCGTCATATGAAGGGTTTAATGCAATATATTTCTTGAAACATTTTTTCAATGATATCATTGCAAAGCATTTTTTAATCTCTTATGGAATTATGCTTTCGGGCCCGTAGTGCGTTGAGGGAGGGGGGGGGTCAAGGATATTTTTTGATGTAGTTTAACAATGTGAATTTTGATTTGGAATCCCTCCATTTTTTTTGAAAAACATTGCTATGGGATTGACTTTTGAATATCATTGTTATTTTTTTAGAAAACATCGTCTTTATTTACGAAATAAAAATTGGAGAAATTTAATTTTGTTGTTTTTTACCAGAAGCAAATAATATTTGATGCAAAGCCTATCTGTTCGTTGGGTAGGGTGGGGGTGGGGGGGATTCCAAAAGAATTCTACCAAAAATTAAAAAATTTTTTTTTAAAAAAAACCATTTCCAGAAAGTTAATACAGAGTGATCTTTTTTATAGTCACCAAATGTTAAAATTCTGTCTTGATACACATGATACATGTTTAAATTTCGCCGAACAAATCCTATGCTAAATACTAAGTTCATTCTAGTTACCTAATATGTATATAAGTATAAATGATGTGTCTAAGACCCATCTTATATTACGAACGTATGGCAAATTTCAATGATTTTATTTTTAAAACAAATGTCCACATTCAAATACATGTATGCAAATTGTACAGATTCAACTGTCAAAACTTTTATACGGGTTCACAGTATATATCGACAAGAAACATTTAATACATGCAATACTTGTGTACGAATACTTTAAGATGATGAAAGAAAATGACAGTTATAAAATTGTCATCATCTTACAATGTACATCACTATATGACACTTTTCATCGTAAAAATAAATTATTATTATAAAAATTGAATTTCAGTAATTCGTGAGTTACAGTACAATAAATATAGTTGATTTTCTACACCCTTTACAGTTCCCTTTCCAATATCCCCACTTTCAACGATGATAGAATTTTAGATCCGTCGACCATAATCCACCCGATCGCAAACAGTCTAAATACTCTTTAGAACTTGCATATGCCCTTGTCCTGATTTTTTGTCCTTATTTACCAACCTCAGGTTTGAGCGTATCAAAGGATCAGTCTCTAGAAAGAAAAAAAATAAAAAAAAAAAATGTATCAGAGGTAGGGAGAAACTAACAAAAAATACACCCTCCCCAATTAGAATCATAGGATTTACTGTACACACAAATTAAATTATGCTGGGTGACAGGTGATTTTCATCGTGAAAAGTATGTATACAATTTGATTGCAAACACTATATTGCTGCCTGCAATTTTGGCGAAGAGGCCTTTTCAATATAACGACCAATGTTCTGAATCACAGATTTGCAAGGTAAACATGTCCTAATATCGACTTTGCAAAGTAATTTTAATCTTAAAGTCGTAAATTGTGGATTAAATTTCTTAAACTGGCTTTGTGTGAATGGAAATTGTGTTTTTCTAATATTTGACTGGAAAATTTACAAATATATGTAATTTTTACAGCTTTGGACTGTGCAGTATGTTACAAATAACCGATGATTGGTTATGAATGCGACAAACAATAGAGACATGTCTATGGTTTTTCTTCAATAATTTTTTCATCTTAAAGTAAATCTCTTTAGCTTAGTTTTCCCATTGGAAAGGATGGATAGGCGCACCGAAACGTAACACCCATTTATCAAAATTAATGTTTATAGTTCCTAAAATTACACGAAAGTTACTGACCTCGTTTTCTTCTCCGCTTCGTATCCGCCATTTTTTCGGTTGCAAAGAAAAATACGCCTTTGCAAAGGAATTTAGGCTGGACCCCTTGAAAGCGTCAAACTAAGACATATCATAACGAAAACATAACTGCTAAAATCCAAACGAGCGGATTTTCGATTTCCCTATTTTCATAATAGCAAAACGTGAGGCGAATTTTGGACTCAAAATCCGTACAAAATACGGCAAAATTGTAAGATTAAACAGGTCTGGAAATATGAAAGCCGTAGCACAAATCGTTCAAAAGTCATGGCCAAGGTTAATGTATTCAAAAGTAGGCAAAACTCCAAGGTCAATGGACAACAAATGTTGGTTCTTGTTACAAGGAATGGACATGTTAAATATGAAACCCCTAGCACAAACTGTTCAAAAGTTATGCCCAAGGTCAAAGTTTTCCAAAAGTAAGTCAAACTCAAAGGTAGAAGCTGTTGGTATTTAAATGTAGGTCGTGTCACAAGGATAATATATGTAAAGTATGAAACCCCTAGCACCAACTGTTCAAAATCTAAGACCAAGGTTAACGTATTTCAAAAGTAGGTCAAACTCCAAGGTCAAGGTCAAAGTTCCTTTGGATACCAACAACTTAGTTGTTGGAATTCAAAGGAAGGTCTTAAAACAAAAATGGAAATGGATATATTAAATATGAAAGCCCTAGCACCAACCGTTCAAAAGGTATGGCAGTCGGTAGAGCGCTCGCTCCGTGATCGGGAGGTCGTGAGTTCGAATCTCGGCCGCGACAGACCTAAGTCGATAAAAAATAGGTAGCAACTGTTCCTTCGCCATGCGCTCGGCACTTTGAAGTGAAAGTTGCGGGTCTTTCGGATGAGACCTTAAAAACCGAGGCCCCGTGTCACGGCAGGCGTTGGCACGATAAAGATCCCTCACTGCTCAATGGCCCTGAGTGCCGAGTAAAGGTTAAAATTTGAAGCCCTTCACCGGTATATGGTGACGTCTCTATATGAGTGAAAAATTCTCCAATGGGACGTAAAACAATATACAATCAATCAATCAATCAAAAGGTATGGCAAAGGTTAAAGTTTTTCAAAAATAGGTCAAACGTAAAGGTCAAAGGGTCAAAGTTGTTGGTATCCAAAGGAAGGTCTTGGCAAAAGGATTACATATGTGAAGTATGAAAGCCCTAGCACCAACCTTTTAAAAATTAAAACCAAGGTTAAAGTGCTGTAAAATTTTGCAAAACTGGGTCAAACTCCAAGGTTAAAGTCAAATATGATGTAACCCAAAGAAAGGTCTTGTCACAAGAAATACACATGTGAAATCTAAAAGCCATAGCCCAACCAATCATAAATTATGAGCAATGTTAAACTTTTTGCGGACAGTCAGACAGACTGACGGACAGAGCAGAGGCTATATACTGTAAACCAAATTTTATTCGCGTGCAAGAAATTTTCGCGACCTACTTAAACTCGCGAATATTAATCCCCGCGAATCATATATTTTGCTTTGTATTTAAATAGAATAATTCCTTAGTCGCGAAATTTAATCGTCACGGATTCATTTCAAACTGACGAATCACGAATAAAAGATGACGCGAATAATACTTGGTTTACAGTACCCCAGAATCTTCGATACGGGGGCATAAAAAATTAATTTACAGACTGCTTGAAGAAAAACCTTATTATTTTAGTATATAGCTAAAATCCTGGTGCATATAACCTTCATTAAAGTTTTGACACTAAATGATTCATTTTTATGGATTTATTTTACTTTCAGGATAATTTGGTATAATACAAAAAAGTCAACTCAACCTGTCAATTTTATACCAGAAAATCAAAATATTCTAAACCCCATTTAGCTCAGATGCAAATTTGTCCATGACATTACTTACTATTGTTTATCATTTTCAGAACAAATTCGAATCAAGTCACAATGTCGAGAAATTGCTGTTTACCTCAATGATCAGAAGACTAACGATTTCAACGCTTTGGTCAGGACTATTACAGGTTTTCTTTGTTCGTCACATGATTGTGAATATTTTATATGATGTGTGTAATGCATAGCACTTAAAAAAATCAAGTCTGATCCTGAATGACCAAGTCTGACTGTCAATTATTTGACGTCTGTTTTCAACTTTTTCATTTCATTGTCTTCTGATTTTTCTTGTCTTGTTTTGTTTAACGTCCCTTCAAGAATTTGTCATTTGTATTAAGAAGCCACCGCTTCCTGGAGGAGTGCTATAAATTCAGACCTGTACTCAGCAATTACGACCTTTAAGCAGTGAACGATTTTTTCGGTGCCAGTTCTACTGCGACACTGGGCCTCGGTTAATACGGTCTCATCCGAAGGACCGGTCTCCCTGCATCGCAGTGTGATTCAAACCCGTAAAGTTAGGATCAACTCCTTACTCCGCGACTAAAGAGTAAACGCTCTAACCACTGCGCCATGCGGGAAACCTGCCCGTTTGTGGTTTCTGCAAACATTCATTTTAATATTTAAATCAGCTTCTTTCAAGATATGAAAAACGAACCAAAAATATCTACTCTTTAAGCTGAAAAACAGAAATTTACAAAACAGCTGTTTCTGATTTGAATGATAGAGATACGGATTTTATGTTTTATGCTTGCCTTGCAGTGTTCTTTCTTTGTATGTGAACTTTGTTTTCGAACTGAAAAAGTGTGTACATTCTGTTTAGAATTTCAAGAAGAAGTGACTGATCCCTTCCTCCGAATAATCATCAATCCTTGCAATGCTTATGAGCGTTGTCTTCCGGCATCCAGTATTGACATCGGTGTTTGCTCACTCATGGTGCACTGGCTATCCACGTATGTTATTATTTGATAGAACCATTAAAGATCGCTTATTGGCCCACTTACAGGTATATAATTGCTATCACCTTTCATGCTAGAGATATGTCCATAGGAAATGAATGCCCCACCCAGGTTAATAAGTTATGCACCTTGAAAATTTGTATAAGTGTATGAAGTTTGATGAAAATATCGTAAATACTTTCTTTGAAACAGAGTTTAATACAGAATAAATAGTAAAGTCAAAGGGTATTGGGAAATTCAAGGTAAAATAGACGGAGTTAATAAATGGTCACCAAAATATGTATCATTATCAGTGCAAAACCTTACATAAAAATATCTTGAATAGCTTCATTAAAACTGAGCTAAATGTAAATTTAAGAAAATTGATGTCAGGGCCAAAGGAAAACATCAAGTTTAGAAAATATTGATGACGTTCAATACCACTCTTCAAAATGTATCACGGATGAAGTATGATGAAATATCTTGATTTTTTTCTTAAAAGTGAGCAAAACACAAATTTGAGATATGAAGATCAAAGGAAAGATCAGGGTGAAAAATATTTTTTGCAAATGATAGCTTACATCAATACATATGTGCAGATGACTTTTGATGAACATACCGTGAATAATTTCTTTCAAAACTGGCTAAATGCAATTTAGGAAAGGTGGGGTCAAAGGAAAGGTCAAGGTAAAAAATGTTGATGAAATTGAAAAGTTTTCCAATATCTATCGTCTTATAAAGTTTCTTTTTTAAAAAAATCTTTAAAAATGTTCTTTGAAACTAAGCCAAACAATAAGAAAAGTGAGATTAAGGTAAAGTAAAATAGTCAAAATCGAAAAAGGTTGAAGCAGTTGAATAAAATATGAAATTTCGTTAAAAATATCTCGAATTAATTCTTTGAAACATCTTGAATATTTCTTGGAAACGTTTTTAAAAAATGAGGTCAGGGTCGAAGAAAAGGTCACGGTAAAAATAGCTTTCATCAATATGTTTCAGGACATAAGGTTTAATAGGCAATCTGGAATTATTTATAGTTTCTTTTAATCTAAGTTAAACACAAATAAGGGGAAACATGGATTCTTTTAATACACTAAAAATCAGTATTAACATGCAGAAAGATGTGTGGAATAAAGATGGTCTAGATGTCAGAAAAACATACAACCCCTAACGGCATGACGACAATCAGTTTGAGATAGAAATTCTTTAAAAAAGGGGGGAAATGCTCTCCACAAAGAACAAATAGTCCAAGTCAATCGTGGTTAATTTGGACAGGATAGTGACACAAAAAGAAAAAGAGAGAACGTAAACTTGAGAGAAAGATCTATGAGATCCAGCAATCTGACAGAAGAAGAAAACGAAAAGAAAATCTCAATGCAAAAGTTACTCAAAGTCAATTTCATCAGAATTCATCGACCCTCAGGTAATAAACCTAGTAGCATCACTGGAAAACTGCAAGACTTCAACGTCAGGGACCGGATTCTTAAAGTCCAATGAACTTTGCGAGAAAAAAGATAAATCAGAGAAAAGTGGGAAGTGCAAGAGCACTTAACTATTTTTTATTACGCCACATACATCAGTGCAAATTAGCAAGGGTAGAAGGAGGCTTTCCAGGATTACAATAAGTTTGCAAAGATGACTGTGGGAAACTTTTTATGATTGCAGATGTGTCCATTGAAGGTTTACTTTTCCTGTAGGTAAATATTTATGGTCCAAATCTAGATACTCCCAACTTTGTTTCACAAACCTTTTGAAAAAAAAATATAGGGAAAAACTATTCCATACTCTTTTTTATGAAAAAGAAAAAAGAGCGTGGTAAAAGAGATATAAGAATTGGAATAGAACAAAACAGAAATACCGCAAATGATCTTGCAGATAACAACAAGATGTGTTTGCGAAACACTGATGTCCCCGTATGGCAGCTTATGGCGAAGGTTCCAGTTTCTCAAATGCAAGTCAAAATCCAGACCAAAAGATAAAAAATGTTTGTACCCAAAGAAAGGTCTTGTCTCGAGGAATATACCTATGAAACTTGAAAGCCCCAGCTGCAACTGTTCAAAAGTTATGGTGAAGGTTAACGTTTTTTAAAAGTAAGTAAAACGTCAGGGTCAAAGTCAAAGTTGTTGGTTTCCTAAGTAAGGTCTTGACACAAGGATTACATATGTGAAGTATGAAAGCCCTAGCGTCAACCAGTCAAAAGTTATGGCCAAGATTAAAGTTTTTCAAAAGAAGGTCAAATTCCTAGGTCAAGGTCAAAGGGTCAAAGAGGTTTATATCCAGAGGAAGGTCTTGTCACAAGGAATACAAATGTGAAGTTTGAAACCCAAGCACCAACTGTTCAAAAGTTATGGCCAAGGTTAAGGTTTTTCAAAAGTAGGTCAAACTCCAAGTTCAAGGTCAAAAGGTCAAAGTTGTTGGTGTCCAAAGGAAGGCCTTGTCACAAAGAATGCACATGTGAAGTTTGAAACCCCAAGCACTAACTGTTCAGAAGTTATGGCCAAGGATAAAGTCTCATATAATTTTGCAAAAGTGGGTCAAATTCCAAGGTCAAAAGGTCAAATATGATGATACCCAAAGAAAGGTCTTGTCACAAGGAATACACATGTGAAACATGAAAGTCAAAGCTCCAACCAATCAAAAGTTATGGGCAAGGTTAAAGTTGACAACAGACAGACAGGACAAAAACAATATACCCCGGGATTTTTCGATCCGGGGGCATAAAAAAAGATGTGTTTGTGAAACACTGATGCCCCCGTATGGCAACTTATAGCGAAGGTTTAACTTTCTCAAATGCCTATCAAATATGCTGGTACCCAAAGTAAGGTCTTGTTCCGAGGAATATACCTGTGAAACATGGAAGCCCTAGCAGCAACCATTGAAAAGATAAGGTTAAAGTTTTTTTCAAAAGTAAGTCAAACATCAAGGTCAAGGTCAAAATTAATGGTGCCCAAGGAAAGGTCTTCTCACAAGAATTACACATTTGAAATATGGAAGCCCTAGCACCAACCGTCTAAAAGATTTGACCAAGGTTAAAGTTTTTCAAAAGTAGGTCAAACTCCAACGCCAAGGTAAAAGTTGTTGGTATCCAAAGGAAGGTCTTGTGACAAGGATTTTATACATGAAATATGAAAGCCCTAGAACCAACTTTTCAAAAGAATTGGCCAAGATTAAAGTTTTTCAAAAGTAGGTCAAACTTGAAGGTCAAGTTCAAAGGGTCAAAGTTGTTGGTATCCAAAGTAAGGTCTTGTCACAAGGATTACACATGTGAAGTATCAAAGCCCTAGCACCAACCGTTCAAAAGTTATGGCCAAGGTTAAAGTTGGGTAAAACTTTGTAAAACTGGGTCAAACTCTAAGGTCTAAAGGTCAAATATGATGGTACCAAAAGAAAGGTCTTGTCACAAGGAACACAATGATGAAATATGAAAGCCATAGCTCCAACCAATCAAAAATTATGAGCAATGTTAAAGTTTTTGCGGACAAACAGACAGACAGACAGAGGGACGGACAGGGCAAAAACTATATACCCATGAATCTTCGTTACGGGAGCATAAAATAAAGAAATAAAAAGAATAAAACAAAAGTTCACTGCATTAGATATCTTAGTAAAATGGGCCGAGGAAGGAAAAAAACGACAATGTATTTTGCACGTTTAAAGTCCAGACATTTTATTTGTACAAAGTTCGAAAGATAATCAAACAAGATTGATGTACATTATCGTAAAAAAGAAATTTTAAATGAAACAAAAAGAATCTATGAAAGTTTATATAAAAATAAGAGCGTATGTGGAAACAAACGATAGTACTTATTCTAGACTAAAAGATTATAACATATCTGATTAAGTGAAAGACTAAAACATTATAACATATCTGATTAAGTGAAAGGAAATCAGCTAGTTTAGAGGGACCAATTACTTTAGAAGTCTACTGTTTCTTGACTGATTGTATTTTGTTTCACTCATATAGAAACTCACCATATACCGGTGAAGGGCTTCCAATTTACACCTTGACTTTGCCGAGCACTTGGCGAACGAACAGTTGCTACTTTTTTTTATCGACTTAGGTCAGTCGCGGCCGTAATTCCAACACGCACGACCTTCCGATCAAGTAGCAAGCGCTCTGCCGACTTAGTTACCGTGACAGCTTCTGTTTTCTGAAAATATATATAAAATATGATAAAAGTCTAGAACCGGATGGATTTACATGTAATTTTTTAATAAGTTTTTCTGCAAAGATATTTGTACATTTGTGACAAAGGCAATTTATAATGCTAATGAATAAATGAAATTTTTTGATCCAAATAGAGTAGGGATTATTACATTTATACCAAACTCAGGAAAAACAAGAGAATTTTCGTAAAATTGGCGCCCAATCAGTCTTTTAGATGTAATTTATAAGTTAGCATCCGAGTGTGTAATCAAGCGAATGCAATAAAAGACCTTACATAAATTAATACATACAGATCAAACTGGGTATATTAAAGGAAGATACATTGAAGAAATTAATACACTGATTTATGACAAAATGGATTATACATACAGATCAAACTTGATAAAGTAAAAGAAGATATATTGAAGAAAAATTATTAGACTGATTTATGACAAAATAGATTATACAGAATGCAGTCAAATACCTGGATCATTAATGCTGATAGATTTTTTGAAATGGCTTTTGATACTATCGCCTGGAATTTTATATATGAAACACTTCATTATTTTCATTTCGGAACGTCATTCAAAAGACAGAAACTTTTTATAGTAAAATCAAATCCTGTGTTATTCAGAATAATATCCAATTATGTCAATCTAGAAGGGGCTGTGGATAGGGGGATCCTTGTGGTGAAAGAGCTATATGCGGTATATGCATATTTTGCCCAAATGTCAAAGTTTGATAAGGCTCGAAATGTGCTAAATTGCATATTTTGTATGAGAAATTTAAATCATCAAAAAATATTAAAGTTTCAAAGTAGGTTATTAACATTATCTTTTTGAACTTAAGAAAAAACAGTCCCCAGCTTGCAGCTTTTGTAAGACTGACATTGAATCAGTTGAACATGTATTTGTTGAATGTTATTTGATAAAAGAGCTTTGCGATGATAATGAAGAGTGGTATTTGTCCAACTTGAAAAAAAATCTGTAGCTTTTGACAAAATAACAATATTATTTGGAAAATTTAAGAAAAAATGCTTACTAAGTACAAAATCGAAAATCTCTGATAATAAAACACATGTATTATATTTTTTCGATTAAATATAAAAATAAATACCCAGTTCTTATCACAATGGGTCTTAAAACAATCATTATGGAAAGATTAATTATAGAGAAATTTTTATTATTAAAATAATGTTAATGTAAATATACCATGTATACAGAGTTTAAAAATAACTGGCAGAGCATATGTGATATGTTGTAATACATGTATATGTATATATGTAATGGATATATGCCGAATACTGTTCTATATGTAAAATTATCAGACTGTTTGAGGCCCGTTAGGGCCGAAAACAGTCTGATAATTTTACATATAGAATTGTATGAGGCATATATCTTACTTAAAACATTGCTATTTAAATGTCCAAAAGTTACCTGGAGGAGTCCGATAATTACACAATAGGAGTTCAGGCATCAATAGTTTTCTACCTGAAACCATCTAATAAGTAGACAAAAGAAAAGAGAAAGTTTTTTTTTCTTTAGACAGTAAAATCAGTGAGTTAACTCTTTTGTTTCATTCATTCAATGGCAGTCGTTTGGCTTAGCAGGAACTATGGACAGTGGTCAGGTGATGAAGGATTTTTTTATGATTCGAAATTTTTTTTATTAAGTGCGTTTGACATTGATACAGATACAGTGTTGAATGATATCTTCAAAATGTATTTTAAGTAAAAATGCGGATTTTTATCTAAAATTTTGATTGGATGATATAATGAAAATCTTGGGTTTTAACGTTGTTGTCATTGGCGAACAAACCTCGTTAAATGAAGAGATTCGCAGACTGGTTCTCTATCAGAAATGGATTTAAATTGGCTTATTCACAGTGCTGTATCGAAAACTCTTTGCAAAAAAACGAATGGAAAGTGTTACTTTTGAGGAAGGTTAAAACTCCAGTTTCTTCTTGGATTTGCTATTTTTAACAACTTAATTTCCTCGCGTTCGCTTTCCCTGAATTTTTTTCCCTAACTTTTTTTTGGTTTCTGGACAAATTAAACCTTGATTTCACTGTAGTTGTTGTTTTTTAACTACTGTCCGATTTTGTTATCACTGCCGTCCGATAATATATTATTGGACTGCTAATTATTATTATCGGACGGCTACAGGTAAATTTTTAGACTGCAAGAACAAAGGCATGACGTCACAGCAATGTTTAAGCTATTTTATAATGAACGACTTTTGCTTATTTCCCCCTTAACGTCAAACGACAGGTTCCTCAATAATATTAAATTTTCCCCCAAGAATTTGAAATTGAAGTATTTCTACTTAACTAGTTTCTCAATTGAGGTACATTACCAGGCATTTCTGTATAAGTTTAGGGAACTGATTGCTTATATAATCCTTGGGGAAATCACTTGAGCTGCTGATACAGTATGTATCATAATTCTTCGTTGTTGTATTGTTTTAGGTATTTTAAAAATAGTGTGGAAATCAGAAAATAAGCATCATTACAAAGCTTTTTGGTACATTACAAAGAGACACAATAAATAAAAAAACAAACAAAATTAAAATAAAACAGATGTTAGAGGAACATGTCGCTTATTCTTTGTCTGAATAAGTGGTGTGTCCGTTTGATTTTTATTTCACATAACAATTTTCCTCTCTATCTGTTCTGCTCTCTTCTTTCCCCTCTCTTCTCTTTTTTATGAAAACAACTTTCACATAAATGTGTGTATATATTATACAGGTAAGTTTGTACATGTGTATGTATGTATGAACTCTGTACATGTATATGGTAGCCATATGTATATGGTACAAATATATATGTATAAATATATACATGAAATGTTAATTTGATATAAATGTGACATTACAAATAAATAATTTTTTTAAAAAGTGAACCATTTCATTTTTATGCAATAATTTACGTGATTTTTAAAGAAGCGTTAACATATATCCGATCTCAGAAACAAAAATGTCAGGTATTCATTATATTTTATTTTCATTATTTTTTTTTTTTTTTTGTTTTTGTTTTGTTTGTTTGTTTTCTTTTTTTGGCTAATGACCTATTTTACTCGTACACTTTGAAGATTTAAGAAAAATGTATTTTTCCCCTTTCAATCTATAAAAAGAGACAACCAACATTGTTATACATAAATGATTACTAATCACAGACTCAAGTTGGATTCAGTTTCGTGTAATGTATTATTTTCTCCAGGTTTTATTCCATTGTATTGTATTATTTGATATCCAGTTCAATCAAGGATATACTGGGATTTCTCCAGGTTTTATTCCATACACTCTGAGGCCATAAGATGTATGGAATACAACCCGGAATAAATCCCCATACACCTTTGATTGGTCCTGGATAACGAATTTATTTCCTATGGAAACCAATTATATTCTTCGTATAAATAGTTCAATCAATAGTGTTTCAAACTATCGAGAAGATTTACTACGTGCTTCAACATCATGCTGCTTGCCTCTTGTCATTGAGAAATATGCATTTTGACGTAAAGTTATAATTATCACCGCTTCAAGCCGGGAATCTATATCCGGCTTTCTAACACATCAAAATTCGTGTTACAAGCTACATAGGAAATAATCGAAGATGCACTCTCTTAAATGCTGAAGTATTGAAAAAAATATTTTTCAGGCCTATGCGTGTTGAAAAGCAGTTAGTTTACCTACCTAGCAACACCGATAAAGAGGAAAAAATTGAAGAAAAAGCTGCTCAGGATTGGGAGAATTTTCTTTCCTTGAGATCCAGAGAGATGAAAAAAGGTGACCAAATGCCAAACATTATAATTTGTGTAATATTATTTTTGCTAGGTAAAAACAATTCATCTATTTTTGAGATATCTAACAAACTGCCAGTAATGAGTGATTTCCAAGTATTTTGTGTTTCAAAGATAATTGCCCCAAAATAATATTCTTCGAATAAAAGGTGACCAACAATAGGAAACTATTGTAAAATTAAGATACAAGGTATAAGGTACGTTGCATATGCGTGAAATTTATAGTTACATTGTACTCCCTGTTTACGTTATCAAAGCGTTATCAAAGCCGAAATGCTGCTCCTTTCATATACAATATAAACATGATGAACCATAGGAAACAACATATATCGGATATTGTAACGAGTAGGTCACGTGATCAAAACCAATAAAGCCTAACGATTTAATATCTCCTCATAGACAAAATAATAACTTACTAGTTACTACCCCAGATGAATTTTGGACTGACTTACAGCAGATATTGCAAGGTATCGCCTTAAGTAGATAATATTTATAAAGGCTAAAATTGAATTCGATCATCATGTCGACTATTTCTGACGTCAATCTGAATATCAGGATACATGCCATCATGAGACAAACTGGTTGTACATTGTATAAGGTAAACCTCTTCAAATATCTATATGTAAAACACATCAAAAGTTATTACTGTCTATATTTAGTGCATAAAATTCTGAAAAAAAAAAGTGTAATGCTGATAATATTTTACGAAGTCAGTCCTTCGGAGCTCTGGACTGACAAAATACTAAAAGTACATTTAAACTATCCCTCTCATTCTTAAGGCACGACCATTTAATTCTGAAGGGGATGTGTAGGAATGGGGCTGGCAGCTTTTGAAATAAATAATCTGCCCTCGATAATTCTGGAAAAATTTAGTTTGTCCTCAACGGTAAAGAAAATATTCTGTTCTTGGCTGGTGCTACCCTAACCCCCCCCCCCCCCCCATTTAGTGTAACTCATTTGTCCCTCATCATCATGGCAATAATCTTTCCTTCATTGACATGAATGTATTCAATAATTTCCCAACACTCCCGCCTCCCGAATCAAATGGTCGTCCTTCAATTCAATGAAGCAGTCCTCAAGCACAGCATCCGATAGGTGAATATTCAGTTCTGAATTATAAAAGCTGACTTTGACAGGAATATTGCAGTCCATCAAAGGTAATTAATAACATATAATTAAAGTTAATTTGTTTGATGGTTAATACATAATCAGTCTTTAAACATTTCAGGTGCTGTGTTTCTTGTTGTTGTGCTCTACTATTCTAGAGACTTATATGAAATTCTGTGTGATGAATTCTATCAACTTTATGAAAGAAATATCATAACAAAGGTATCAATGCTTCTGTAATTATTACTTGATGATTATTCAATTGCGTGCAAAGTGTGCTGCATCAATATCGGTGACAAAAATAACTGTTGTGTCGAACATCGTTCAGTTTCACCATTTCGGAATAATTACTTCTGTGTTCTAGATTTTCTTTCCACATCTGCTGGTTTAATTACTGTAGGTCACCAAATTTTTGCGATACCTTATTTTCGCGAGATATGTATTTGGTACTTATAAGCGAGACAAATTTTTCACGAATTCGGTACTGTTGTAAATAATCTATACAAACAAATATTTCCGCGAGAATGAAGAATGAAATTTTTCGCGAGCAGACCGTCTCGCGTAATAACGCGAAGATAAAGTTTTCGTGAATACAGAGCGATTTACAGCACTGAATCGGACATTTAATAACACACAGGGACAACTCCATTACATGACTAAACTCGTTTTTATGAATAACGTAAAAGTTTATATCTAGTTCTAGGTGCTTTATATCATAAAAATAATTTAACCTGGCGAATTTGCCTCAAACAGCAATATTTCGGTATGACAGACAGTGAGGCTGTCTTGTTGAATGCTTGAATTCTCGAAGTTAGCGTGCCATTTAATTCACCAGATTTGACGTCCAAACCAAAATATCAAAGCAAGAGAGGGTGGCAATTACAAACCCAAATAATATGACACATGGGTGAATTAAAAAAAAAATGACCAAACGCATATTTATCAACCCACACTAAAAATACAGGCAATGAAAATAGATTTCTATGTCTCAGCATATGTCTTTTGATAGTGTCTATATACCTGCCAAATATCTCGTTGATATCTCAACTAACAAAAAATTATGCCCAAAAATGATGCTAAAATTGTCAGGAGTGCAACACTTTTTTGTGACATTTTGAAATTTCAATATTTTTTGGAGATCTGTAAAATAAATAATAATGTTTCATGTTGAAAATAAAGACTTTCCTGATAATATTCAAAGTATTGAGCTTTAAATGTGGGCTATAGTAACTTTTGTTTAATCAAGTAGTGGTCATGGCTGATGTTTAAAAAAATGTTATACCATGTCATGAGTGCAACAGAAAAAATGTAGTGTTGCCAAAAAAACATCAACTGTAAAATTCTGAAAGAAACTTAAGAAAAAAGAGAATTTTCTAAGTGTAAAACAATAACTGATATACATTTTAAAACTTAAAAATGTTATATAAATCACAAGCAGCATTAATTAGAGTCAAGTATATGTGCATACCCAATAATGTCAGGAGTGCAACATTTGATGTTTTGCTCCTAAGCATAAAAAACTATTATCATTATATGATTTTCTGATTTTTATTTTGGAAAAGAAAGACACAAAAACATTTTTACCAGATAGATTTATTAATTACTGGATCTGTCTGTGCTTCAAATCTTTATTTCTATGGTCAGGAGTGCAACACATTTTTTTAAAGATTCAAGTTGTGTAACGAAAACACTTCTATTCATGCTTAGACGTATTCATTAATTAATAATGATCTTTTTGTATAATTTAATACAAAATTATTGACAGTTTTATTATTAAAATCCTTCTTTTTTCAATTTTACCAATTCAAATGTGTTTTTATATTTTTTGTGATTTTTTTTAAATGAATGTTAAAAATAAACACACTAAAGATTGTCATAAAATTCAAGTAATTCCTTCTCAACTTCACTGAAACAGCAGAACAAGTTATTATGTAATTTTCACTTCACAATTCTACTTTAAAGGTCCCAATGCTTTTGGTCGGGAGTGCAACAAATATATTAGAATTATAAATCATCCAATAAGAATTAAAAAAAGAAAAAATGATGAGTAGAATTTTTCTGGTGGGTTACTGTGTTTGTCCTCTAAAGGAAAATATGCTATAAAAAATATTTTATCTTCTAAATATACATTTAAGCTAGTTTTTTGGCATAAATAGGGAATAATTCCAGATAAAATGCGAATTTCAAATACTTTCATCTGTTTTAATTATAAAATATTGGACTATAAATATTGCACAATTTCATTACCACTTGATGTTGCCAACACTTTATGAATTTTTGTGTTCTATGGTTTTAATTTTAAATTTTACTGCAGTCAGGAGTGCAACAAAACTGCTTTATAATTACCAATGCTTTTTAACTATCTTTACTAAAAATGAGTTGAAAAAAAAATGTTTGATACTATTTTATGTTCAAAACACTATGTCTAATTACAGAAATTTTCTAGTCAATTCAGGGAATAGTTTTCATCAATTTACATATAGTTTTATGTACAATTTATATATATTACACTATAATCATGTGTCAAGGTCTTCAAAATATGAAAAACCTGCCGTAAACAATCAAAAATATCAAAACGTCAAATTAATTTACAAAGTAAGAATGGGTTATTGTGTGTTATAATTTTTAAAACAATAAATACATATCAGATGTCAGGAGTGCAGCACAGTAATGTAACATAGGGTCACTTCAAAATCTAGTATTTTTTGTAAGAGAACTCGCATATAAAAATTCTTTTTTGGCTTAGATTTAAAGAATTGGCTTGAACGGACAAAAAAGTGAAATTTGGGCAATTTTATTGCTTCATATTTTTTTTCATATTAAAACTTTTCAAACCAGAATTGAAAAAATAATGTAAAATGACAATCAAAAAGTCATTTTTTGTCACACATACAAGAGAAGATACTCATAGATTTAATCATTTATACCCCTTTTACCATTTTGAAGCATAAAAAATTATAATTTCTTGTGATTATGTATTTTAGAAAGTCTTTTAAGGTGTAATGATATTTTCTTTTTTCAAAAGAAATTTTACTAATAAAAATTCTGAAACTTTTTAATCCAATTGTCTATTCTATTGCCACTTCAGGATTTTAAACTAGAATGCATGTGCAATATGATGATATAAGTGAAAAATATGTTAGAAGTAGTTGAATTTTTCCAAAAAAAATTCAGTTTGGTGGTCTTTTTTTTTTTAATTCACCCACATATTACCTCAACCTTGAACTTTTGACATTTTATGACTATTGAAAGACAATACAAAGTCTGAACTTTTGACGTTTTCTGACAATTGAAAGACAATATAAAGTCTGAACTTTTGACGTTTTCTGACAACTGAAAGACAATACAAAGTCTGAATTTGTTATTGCAGGAAGAGTTGTCAAACACCACAATACCAATCTACCCCTACAGAACAGAGACTGAACTCAGGGCACCATTTGACGACATTGGCCAGCAGATTGGTATTCAACTTCTAGAACTGCGGAAAAGACCTGTCAAGTTTTACAAAGACGGTAGGTAGAGATATGTGCGGGCTAATCAAAACCCTTTGCTTCTGTAAAAGAAAATGATCCCCAGGGTTACATAACGTATGTTTGAAGTCAAACCATGACACGTTCACTTGCTGTTTAATACACTGTGTTTTTAAAAGGAAAATCATAAAGCTGAAAATAATATTAAAACGATATGCGATGCTTCTACATGCAATGTAATACTGAATTGCAAACCTATACTTATAAATTGGTTGAAAGAAAAGATATTTTCTAGAAGGACTTTGGAAGAATTACTACTACTTTAAGACACCCCCCCCCCCAGCCCTGAAAAAAAAATATTGCGAATGCTTGTCATCTGAGGAGAGAGAGAGAGAGAATTGATCGAAGTTTTTTTCCTTAAATAGTTTTTTTATAATGATACTCTGCACACATTTTTCACAAGTGAATTCACAGGTACACTATTGAAAGAACGAGTGCACTTATGAGCCCCGGTAAAATGTGTAAAAAAGAAGAATCAAATTAAGCATAATTTTTCATTTCAGATCATTAATTGCTATTGAAATCATAAGGTTCAACAAATTTTATCGGTGAAATTCATGAATACACAAAGAGCAAAGCCATACAATGTGGTAGGGGTCAGTCGACATTCATGTTTTTCTATAGTAAATCGAGGACAGTCATTCATTTCAAAGCTTTTGTTTACTGTCAGCCTAACGTTGTACAAAGTTGTGCGAATGACAAAAAACGCATTATACATTTAAAAATCTTGTGTGAAAATAGGAAATTTGTACAAGATTAGGCTTGTACTTAAAATATTAAAAATGTATGAAAAGTTCAATGTTTTTCCTATATAATGTATCATTATATCGAAGTCGTGCCGCAGAGAGAAGTTTGTATGCATTTGGTTTTATGAACACGGGAGGGTTAGGAGAGTTTAGTGTCGTTAAAATATCATGCATGAAAGCGTCAAATATTTTTAACTTTCATGCAAGACAATGGTACCGGTAATGAAAGCCACCTAAATACACTTTTTTTCATTTTAAAATTTAAAGGAATTAATGTTAATACTTTATTGTATTATTTCAAATGCAAGCGTGCAAATTTCTTAGTTTGTTCAATATGGCTACATGTACAGGCATCTATACAACTTCATTTGATTTTTTTTCTCAGGTACAGTGTAAAATAGCGCAAGATTATCATTCGGAAAACGCGCCCGTCAATGATCCACCATCCGGTTTAAATGTCTCCTCCCCTTGATTTAAATAAACGAAACTCAAAATAGGTTCGGTACGACTTTTCCGGATTTGGGGTATCTACAGGCATTTAAAAATATTCATTTGTTTCAAATCCATGCGGCTTTAGGTGATGTTTGAACGTGATTTTAATTAGAAATATCCACTTGTGTTTACCTATTACAAAAAAAAGAACAATTTGACAATATATTCTAAAGTAAAACGGCACTGAAAAAGGGACCATTAAGCATTGCTTAAGTGCACTTGTCCTCTGTATCCAAACCTTTATTAATTACTTTAATCTAATGATAAAAAAATGTTAACTCCAATTTATTGCTTTATTCCAGAGGACGTTGATTGTCTTAGGAGTTGGATGAATAGCAGCATAATGGCCGGACTCTGTAGAACCAGAAATGATGAGGAGGCTAATGAAATCAGTAACATTTATTTTCAAAACTTAAAGGATCGATTATCCGACTGGAAATGGATGGATTACTTCGTGTTCGACGTTATTTTCCAGAAAATCTAGCGAACTTTTTTTCGAAAATCGCTCGGATCTCTTACTTATTGTTTTCACTATTGTAAACAGATATAACCTATCATTGGGTGGAATTCTGGATGATGTGTTTCATACCAATTGTTAGGCCTTTGTTTTAATATTGAAAATGACTACGGAATGTTCCCCTCTTCACGTCAGTAGACAGAATTTTTTTTAGACTTGCACAAAAGATTGATAAAGAAACATGTATATTGAGGATATTTTGTGTGAATCTGTTAGAGAAGTATGTCCTCTAACTGAATTTCTTTGGGGGATGGTATGATAAACAAGGGTGTTATATACAAAAAGTAGAACGTAAAAGCTTAGACGACACTTGTATTAATATTAATATAACACAACAAATCATTTTCTGATCTTCAGATAAACTGTTTGAATGGAGATGTATTTTTCACAAACTGATTGATCATATATATTTCTTCCCTTCCGTATAAAATGTCTAAAACAAGAAGATTTGTTAATAACTTACATTCTGATAAAAATGAAAAAAAGAAAGAAATTGACTCGGTTTCATAACCGCAAACGATAATACAAGTTACCCGCACTTTCTAGCACGTTACACGAACAATTAACCGTTACACGATTCTATATGAGCATATTGTGAACAATAACGTTGCAGCCACCGTACATAAAAAATACTCTGGGCGGGGCCCCTGTTGCTTGTCAGTTTTCTAGCGAAGATGAGACATTGAATAAATAATACAGATGAATTATTAGCAAGAGACGTCAATGTATAAATTAACTTTGAAAATATATTCAGCTGTGCATTAATATTCCAAACACATTCAAGAAATTGTATGTTAAGTTCAGAAATGTATACAATTTATCACTGAATGAGAGAGAAATAATAAATAATTTCACTGAGATTACGCACTGGCACGTCTGAACATTCATGCATTAAATATACCTTCAAAACAATCGATTCTTTGAAAATATAACACACATCTTAATCTGATTCTTGAATGAGAGCAATACAGCATGGAATATAAAATGATGTCAGACAAAGTTCCTTTATTTTGGAATCTTTTCTCTATGCTTCTTGAACCCGGTGTGGAATCTGTTCTTAAACTTTTAAGTGAGTACCACCTGACATGATTATGATTTAACTAACCTTTAATTCTCAACAAATATACAAAAAAAAAGAAAAAAAATGGTTAACCGTTTAAAAAATCCTGTGCAAAAGTAACAAACTTCATATTCTTAAGTCTTGTATTCCTTTAAATTGTCAGGTTTTTATTCGTAGTCTGATCGTCCCATCAATATAGTGGATTTCGGGACATGTCAAGGACGAACTATTTGCCCATTCTTGAAAATTCTGATAGGTATAGAACTTTTCTCCTTTTACTCTTTTAATTATACCCCACGCAAACGAAGTTTAAGGGGGGGGGGTATAGGAATCACCATGTCCGTCTGTCTGTAGACGAGATTTTGTCCAGACCTGTTCTCGGAGACTATTGCATGGATTTGTAAGAGAATTTGTACACTTATTAATCACTTAATGAAGATGTGCACCTGATAATTTCATAATGAGTGGATAATTTTTCTGTATTTTACAGGCGTTTAATTCATTTTAATTACATGAATTTGCCCGGACCTGTTCTTAGAGACTATTGCATAGATTTGTCTGAAAATTTGTACACTCATTATTCATCATATGAAGGTGTGCACCTGCTATTTTCATCATTACTGGGTAATTTTTCTGCATTTTACATGTGGTTTTTTTTCATTTTTATTGACTTGGTCATTTTGGATTTATATAGGGTTGAGACATACAGTCTAGAACTGTCAGTTGGTACATCTGTACAAAAATGTGAACTGCAGCTTAAATTTACTCATTAAAACTAAAAATAAAATCCTCAAGCATTAAAAAAAGGTTTTTGATAGATAGTCCCTACAAATCCAAGAGTCATGCAGTACCCTTATTAAAAATGTCGCATCAAGATTACACAGTTCTTTTTTTTTCATTATATAAAGCTTTGTAACAAATTAAAAGAAAAAAAAATCTTTGTTTTCAACAGAATAACATAGATATGCCTTTTCTATTGTACACAGTGCATAACAAAGCAGTTAGCGTAAATCCATTTGTCTCTTGGGATTAATGAGTGAAGATGCATCCAGTTAATAATGAGTTCAGTGAGGGAAGCTGTTAGAGCATCTCTGATCAAGCAGGTGTTATCTATATCTCTGGGAATTGGGCAGAAAGAAATAAAGATCTATGTTCTCTAACTTTCTTAATTTTTAATTTATAGTCTGTCAAAATACATAGCTACTGGATGACCAGCCTTTTATTTTTAAAATGAATTTGTTATAAAGTTATCAAGATTAATTTGATTTTGTATAATCAAATATGATTTTTTAACAATCAATTTGCAGAGTGTCAATGTAATGAAAAAAACAATGTAATTATTAGTATTTATGTTTTATTAGGCTGCGCCTTAGTTTCATTCATCAAAAAAAAAAATATAATGAGCAATTATATTTTCACTCTAAATGTTTAAGCAAATTGTGAACACTTTTTAGATCCATAAAGTATTAGTGATTTGGCACCTTCTCTGAAAAACCCAGCGGGGGTATTCGTACCTTTTGGACAGTTCTAGTTTCTCCTTTTTCCAAAATTAACAAGCATTCTGAGAGTATTGCATTCGCAATACTAGTCCTCTACAGGCAAGTGTAATCTGGTTCCCGTTAAGAATTGAAAATGCCATAATTCCGTCAGAAATCAATGAAGCGGGAAGAAATGCAAACTTGATCTATAACTAATGAAGTTAAAGTCACATACCAAAAATCAGCTCAATATCTGAAAGCGTTAAGAAGAAAATTGCGGAAACCCCGTAAAAATTGAAAAGGCCGTAATTCCGTCAAAAATCAATGAAGCGGAACGAAATGCAAACTTGATCTGTAACTCATCAAGGTACACTCACATACCAAAAATCAGCTCAATATCTGCAAGCGTTTAGGAAAAAAGTGCGGAAAACCAAGTGGGACAGACTGACAGACAGAGGGACAGACAGACAGACGGACGGACAGACTCAGAGGAAACCTATAGTCCCTTCCGGTTTCACCAGTAGGGGACTAATAAAGCTGCAAGTGGTATAGCTCGAATCTATACGATCTGGAGATGGTTACTGGTTGCCCTATGAATAAATTCGTTTACTTACATGTACTATTTTATAATACTATGTGAACTGAACGTTTTATTTTCCAAACACGATCGAATTTTATGAACCGAGACGGAATGCAGAGTGCGAACGCAAAATGAACTACAAGAGAAAAACAGAAAAAAAGACAACAAAAAGAAGGAGGTGTCTTTTCTTTGTGTACATGTTAACATTTGTTATCTGCAAATTCATTTTGTTCATTTTTTGTGCCTAATGTTCTCATTTAGCTATTAATTTATCTCCTGATTCTGAAGAAATATAAAGTTTAAGGACATTATCTACCTCTATCATAAACATGCATGACAATTTTAACCTAAAGATTTCTTGTTCAACAAGTTATTGATTTGTGCGTGATGCACATTTAACAAAAAGATTCGTGTCGTTCAGTATATATTTTTTTTCTTCTTAACCGAAGGAACAAGGGCTTCGTTTGAGCGGCATACATAAACTTTTTTTTTTAAATCTGGACAATATGTCGCGAATAATACCGATCCCTAATGTAGTATGGGTCACAAAGGGGTTACATACAAATGCACGAAAAAAGCTTTTAAAACAAGAAGAGTGCCCAGTACATTTTTTTTTTGAAATCTATGAAAGCAGCAAATTCCGTAAAATCAAAATGAAAAGGAGAAATCCCACAAATTGCAGGGCTTGGACTTTGTTTGCTCATTATTTGGAGGTTCATAATTGATCAACCAGTCACCGCCTTGGCAAGGGCAAAGTAAAAATTTTCAAAGAAATCTTTATTTTACTTAAATCTCAAGGATTTCATGTCCAAAATGAAAGACCAGGTCCATGGATCTGAAACATCTTTAATCAAAATCTTTTTCATTGTACTGAAATGACGTAAAAGTATTCATTTCAAAATAAAAATGTTTTGCGAAACTGCATCATCAAAGTACTGCTATCAGCAAATTTTTAAAATAAATAAACAATTAATAAAGACTTGCAGGCGATTAAAATTTAACTCAAGTCACAAGCCCTTAGATCGCTTTAAAAAAAATAAGATGTAAAAAAAAAATAAAGGTATGGAACTCCTTACATAGGGTACCCACATTCGCCAATAAAATACTTTTAAATCAAATGATCTAAAACTTTACTTTCTATTAATAACTATTCAAATATAAACAATCTACGTTTCTATAAAAGTTCTTTCCGAAATTCCGTACGTAGTGGTTAAGACTTTTATTTCATAGCCCTCGTTTCGTAAATTATATTTTAGAAGTATTTGCTGATATTTCAGTCTGATAATTCTATTTACCTTATGTTTTCAGTTGTTACTTACGTAAAACCCATTTATTATTTGTCTTTTATAAGTTAGGGCATGTGTTGACATTCCACGTTTTACTTTTTAAACAGGAAGTGTCCTCCATAATTGGAGTCTTTCCATAGTACTTTTGGTAGCTGTGTTCTGATTGGTTAAGTTGTAGTATCTTTGATATTTATTGGCTTTTATTTTTGGGCCTAGCTAGGGTATTTAAAGCCGTGTTCGAGTAGTTTTCTTCACTTGGGTTGGGGAACACAAATTCATGGTTAGTTCCTCTTTACTGTGCTAAGAAAGCCTCATGGTTTATGAGCACTATTTGATTAGTACCTTAGAGTGCTAAGAAAACCTCATGGTTTAACAGTACTCTAGGTCTAAGCTACCTTTAGTTTCACGTTTTTCACAAGTTCGAAGTTTTTGTTAGCAAAAAGTTAGGATGAAGGTTTAATAGAAAAAAATTATTTTCCTTTTTCCAAGTCCAGCCTGGTTGAAGGATTTGTAGATAAAGGTCTAATTCCTAGAACCACTTTTCACTATTTATAATTTATTTTTGGTGTTGTTTAATTATTTTCTGGGTTAGATATTTTTAGAGTCCAGATTTAGCATTATTATTTTAAATTCAACTCTAGAGTGTTGATTAGTAGAGTTCATATTGGCTAATGTAGCTCATTTCCCTTACATTTTTCAAACTCATTGACATTTATAGCATTTTTAATAGGATTTTTGACCTTTTTCATAAGTATGGAAGCTCAGTAGGGACATTAATTATTTTCATAGGT